GGAAATCAGCTTTTGTTACCCTGTGGATATTTGGCTGCTGACGGCAAACACACTTCTCTGTGACTTAAAAAAAATAATTCCCTTAAGATAGGGTGGCTGGAAATTGCAGTACAGTCATGGGTCAGGATGACTCAGTGGGATGGATGTCTTTTCCAGCCTCTTCAAACACTTCATTCTTCTCTGTTATTGCATACTGAGAGGAAGTTCCCATTGAACCAGCTGCAGTATCATTTTGAGTGGAAGTCCCAAGGCTACAGTTAGTTTCTAAAGAATAATAGTAAAAATTTTGTTCTTTTTCTTACGTGTGTTTCACATCATTTGTTATGTGGAATTCTGTGCATCTCAGAAATAAGTCTTTCATCCCCAAGATGCAGCCACGTGAAGCCATTAAAGCTACACACTTACTACGCTGCAAAGAGAGGGCAACCTTCAACATCTCAGACTGCCAGCAGGCCCTGCAGCCACACATTTGAAGATGGTTTTAAACTCTGCAACCTAATCATTAAAAGAGTAGCAAAGCAGGAGGGTGGTTAGCCTTTGTCCCTTTATAAAAGGAGTTTGAGCTCCATTTAAACTCCTGGGTGTAACCCAAAGAAATTGAAACTGCTCAAGGCCTTTGCTGTATCAAGTCTAGTGCTGGAAACAATGCCAAGTTGTCTAATTATATATTTCTAGTTATTAACTATCTTAAGGAAAGGCACCTCTGCTTTTATCTGCTCTGCTAATGCACTTGCTTATTGGGAACCTGGCTATGATGATGAATTTAAATAAAGTGCTCTTGGGCAGAGGAAGAATGTGCAGACTGCTGCTTGAAGATCTGTGACTCAACTTGCAGTACTTGAGGGCTGTGAGAGGTGACTAATAACTCAGTTAACATAACATATTCAGATCAGCTTCTTTAGAAGTGAGTGGCAGTATGTGGGTCTTGAATGGATTTGCTTTCGGAAAGCCTGAAGCACTGAATCTGAAGGGAGGTTGTTCAAATCTTGCCCATGAAATGTGGTGGGCTCCCAGGAGGGCAGTTCAGTTGGACGTAAAGGCTGTGGCCCATTGCCACATGGAGCCATGGGCTTATTTTTGTTCTGTTGTGACTTGTAAAGCACAGAAGTTGCTTGTTGACCTATTTGTTTCCATCTAGTAATGTAAAGGACTGCTAACAGTGTTGGTGTTGGGACATTTTAGGATAAGTTTCAATCCTTGTTGATGACTATTTCTAAGTATTCTCATTGTGATCTTAATTCTGTTGCATAATCTATGTTACGTTGCATTTCAGGTCTCTGCAAGCAAGTTGTTTCATAGCTCTTTTTTCTTCCTCCTTTAGGTTGATATCCTTCCAAGAGTTTGTGGCATTCGAATCAGTCCTGTGTGCTCCAGATGCATTGTTCATAGTAGCCTTTCAGCTATTTGACAAGACTGGCAAAGGAGAAGTTACTTTTGGTAAGAATGGTCTTAAATATGCACTCTCAATTTAGAAATCCCTACTTATGTCAAACTATTTAACCTTCTGTTACCATAGGAAACACAGCAATTGATAGTAGAACTATACTCATGCCAAGTAGAATTCTGGCTGAGTTTCTATAAATCACGTCCATGTGTATAAAACAAAGTCAAGGTTGTGGTCTTCTTCATGATTTTCACTAGAGAACTGGTCACTTCTTCTTTTCCCCAGCATGCTTGTGCATGTCTTCAGAACAACAGTGAGAGGTGGCTGTAGGAAATGATTGTAAAACCACAAAGAAGTTGCCAGAGGACATGGGTGAATGTTGAGTCTGAAATTACTGTGAATTATTTTTTGTTTAAATTGGCTATGTTGCAAGCTGTCTTCCTCTTAAGCTTAAAACTTTCGTCTGTGAGACTTTTCAGTAATAAATGCATTACTGCCCCACAGGAAACTCAGCTATGCATTGGAGGTGTGGTATTTGCACAGACAGTGTGACATACTTAGGCTAGTTTAAAACATGATTAAGAGGCTGTTTACTTTAGACACCATAGAGACAGTTTCTGATATCTGCAGAAGTATCTGCCACCTGCCTAGGAGGAAGGATGGTGATGTCTGGAAGAAATATTCAGAAAATAGTGTTCTTAAATAACTTCAGGCATTGAACTGCTTTTCAGAAAGTACGGAAGACTTTTTTGACCCTAAATACTTATGTTGGATAAAATTTCTACTTCTTACTTGTTACATTTCGACAGAGTTATCCATCTGCCTTAGGTTTGTTGAATTGTTTATTAAATAGCTTGAAATAAAAGGTAACTGGATGATGGTGACTCTTGTCTTTCCCATCTTCCCCTGTATGGTTCATGTGCCCTTTGTCTTTTGCTGGAATTGCCCCACGTATATCTAGTTTAAAAAAAAAAAAGAAAAAACAATCGCACATTCTCAGATCATTTAAACTGATAAGAGCTACTACTGTTCCTTGAAGCATCATTTTCTTCCTTCTACCATCTTCAAAAATCTACATTTTGAGTTGTGGCCAGTGAAAAGACTTGATGTCTTTTCTTGTCTGTTTTGATTTTTCATTATTTTGATTTTCTGTTGAATTAGTTGAAGATGTGTCTTCTATGTGCAATACTGCTTGTTAGAACAGCTCTTAAAAGCGTGACTATGAGTGCTAAAGGATTTGAAAGAATTTCAGAAAAAGAATTCTGCTGTTCCTAACCTTGATGAAGGAAGTATTTTGTGCCTAACAGTATTATTCATGTGCATGAACAGAAAGACGAGAAACAGCATGCTTTTAAATCAGGAGGGTCCACATATTTAGTAATGGTTTTGTTCCAGTGCAGACAAACCAGTGTTCCTGGAATGCCTGTGATGTGCAGGTTCTTGTCTGTGTCAGAGCCCCCAGTTGCTCGGAGCACTTGTTAATAATCTAAGAAGAACTGTAGTTGTTTGATCTGAATGCTGAATCAGTCCAACTTAACTTTTTAACTTTTGGCATTCTTCTTCATATTTTTCCTGCTGGTAAATGCTTCCCTTGGGGTTAGACAGAGTGAGTCAAGGGATTTGTTTGGCATTTGAAACTCATTGAAGTCTTTTTAGTGATGACAGAAACTTTTATGCCAGGCTGTATTTAAGGTATTTGAAAAAGAAAGCATGCCAACATTGGCAGAGCCTCAGATATCTTTTTTTTTTTTTTTTTTTTTTTAATTCCTTCCTCTCCCACTGTGAAATCATAAAAAGTATCTGTAATACATCTTATGTACTTCTGCATTTATTGGGTAGCTTCCACCCCAGAAGAAGTATGTAAGAGCTGTCTCAGTGTTGTTTGTTCTCAGCAATACCAATTGACCTTTAGATAAAGCTAGTGTATGTTTTCTATTGTAAGGAAGAAGTTGTTTTGTTTTCCTCACTATTAGGAAAAAAACCTAACATTTTCACAAATGAACAATTACAATACTGCCCTTTAACTTTGCTGCTCAGTACCTCAGTCATGCACTTTTGAGGTTAATTATGAGATCTTTTTCCATTAACTTGAATGAGAATAGGATCAAGTCCTTATCAAGGTTAGGAGACTTAAATAGGGGTTTTATGTACTGTGGAATTACAGTGTGAAAGGAAAAGGAGAAAAGGGAGAGGGTCATCTTTCACTGCTTCTGTTACGTATAGTATCTCAAGGATCCCATTCTTAGTGTGCATCTCATTTTACTGTTGTAAAGAAACAGCATGGCTTATCTTTGCAGTCACTGTTTTTCTGTGTACTGAGAAAATGGTGTAAATATTTTAGCTTATACTGGATGGAATGTAGGGTTTTCTGGCTGTGAACTTCACTTAGGCAAGTCATCTAATGTGTATTGTTTCACAGGTGCACTTTGCTTGATACCTTTGTAAAACAAATTAATAATGGGTTTTGCATCAATGATCTTTTATACTGACTGCCACATTCAGACTGTAGATATTTAGGGAAATGCTCTGAGTAAAGAAGTTTTACCATTTACTATATAGTACTCTTACTGAAAAATACTATCTTCTTGCTTTAGCTTCTGAGTTGGAAATTCCTTTGCATTCTAGCCATATGTTGAAATCTGTACAATTTCAAATGTTTCAGTTCTTTCAACTTACAAGTTAACTGTATATAGTTCTTTTGACAGAGCTAGCATCTGTTTAAGAGGTCTGATCTGCAAGCAGTGCGTATATGTGGTAGAGGTGGGGCGGGCTGGAAAGTATTTCTAGTTTATTACTTCAGTGAGATGAATGAAATGGTCAGGAGTAAATTAGTAGCCAGTGGCTGGCTGACTCAGTCTACACCTGGCTGTTGCATCATATTGTAGATTTATCTGCTGCTGAAGTGTCAAAGCTTTGAGAGTTTGCAAGGAGTTAAAGCTCTCAGCAGGAAAGTGGGAGGAAGTTTAGCTGGCTTTTAAATTTGAGGCAAAGAGCAAACCATTGCTTCTTACTGTTGAGTGTTGACAGGCACATAAAAGCTGATAATATAAGTCCAGGGGTTTAAGAGACTTAGTAGAGTTGCTTTTTTGTCGTATGACTGTATTTTAATGCCTCATTAAAGAAGGAGAGCCCTTTGAAATGCTTTACTAGATGGTATTTAAAAAAAACATGAGAAGCTTGGGTAAAAATGTCAGTGTTTAAAATCTAAGTTGTCTTAACCTTCATCTTTAATTTTGAATAGATAAATGAAATGATGACAGGTAACAATTCTGAGCAGTGAATAATACAGAAGTGATATCTGTGGACTGGAACTTAATTTCTCATATACAGGTTTTCACAGCCCTAATGAATGGCAAAAGGAACATTGTCCACGTTGGTTTTTCTCATAGAGAAAGGAAAGGTAGAAAAACAAAAGTGTTTGCCTGAGTCTATGCTGACAACCAGCACTGAGCCCGGTGTTAAAGGTTTTCATTGATTTGTTTTGAAGTAAATTTTCCCACCAAGGAAAAAATTTTACTCTCTCATAATTTTTGAAATGCAGCTGTGGTATAGTGTGTGGTTTTCTAATTTATTTATTTATTTTTCTGAAGTCTTCTAATTCAAACTGAAGCTGTTTCAAAATGGTTGCTGTGCGGTGCTGCTTTGGGAAGTACGAATATGCCTTAAAACAAGTTGGTCTTTTCATTGAAAAGGAAAAAGCAGCAGAAACCACTCCAAACAGCAAAAAAAAAGAGGGAATAGAGAACCCAAACTCTAAATTGTTGCTTGTTCGTCTTAACATCTGTGGAGCTGAGCAATCTATCTGTTTTTGTCTCATAACAGAACTCTATTAACGTGTAGACAGCAGCTATTGTGTATCTCTGCTTCTGTTATTAATTATAGCAGTACATGTTTCTTAGAGGAATGAATAAATTAATGATGCATCTTACTAAGCACTCCTGTTTGCATATGTTACTTGAATTGCCTGAATGCTTGTTTGTAAACTCTAAAAACATGTAGCTCCTAACTGAGGTTTATGTATACAGCTCTTCTGATGATCTTCGGAAGTTTTGCTCTGTAACTCTGCTCTGACACTTTCAACATGTTAAGAATTATTACAGGAGTCTAATGGTTGCTTTCCTAACTAGGATTAGGTTCAGATTTTGTGAACCTGCTTGCTCTTGTTACAGAGGGTTATTTATGCTTTGCTTGATATGACCTGGCTCTTCTTATGGGATTTATAATTGCTTATGCAATACCTGGCTTACCAGTGTCCAGCCCAGTACACTTAAAACCACGTAAAGCAAAGAAAAGTGAAATCTGAACTGCCAGCATAAATTGCTGAGGCTCTAAATTTTGATCATTTGATGAATGGCAATATTCAGTAATCCTCAGTGAGGTTTCTGTTGCTGGTTCAAATTAGTTTGAAACATTTTGTAGCTCATGATGTGCTAGTTTACACTACACAAGGAAACATCTGTTGGTTTATGACTGATGGTTGCCAACATATGATGATCACAACAGCAGTGTTACCTACTGCACTGTTACAGGTGTAAATTGTGTTTAGTCTCTAATATCTTTTGTTGTTTCTACTGCATTTCGCACAGATATTTCTGTTTCTAAAAAGAGTATTTAAGGAAGATTTGCAAGTATACGTATTCTTCTTCTGAGCAACTTTTGAACTCTACTTAACACTGTTTTCGTAGAATTTAATTTCTAAACTTATGTCAACTTGGCATGTTTCTCTTATTTTGTTTCCTTTTACCTAACGTGTTACGTAACTAGGCAGACTTCCATAAAGGCATCTTAAGTTAAACAAAGCATATTACAAAGTGAGCCTGTCTTTTTAAATGTTAGGGGAAGCTCCATCTTTTCATGCATTTGTGTTTCATTGGGTCTAGGGGATACAACTGAGTTTTCTAAGTCACCTAGAACTGGTATTTTGTGTTTTGGTTTGATCTTTCTTGTTTTCATTTTGTCTTTTTCAATTAAAATAGCCTGCTGACAGATAGCTGGTTGAAGACTGAGCATATCTCCTTTGCAAAAAGCAAGGGATGGTCACAGAAGCTAGTTC